AATAAAGATCAAATGTGGTAAGTCAGACAGAGAAAGACAAATAGTGTATGATCTCACTTATATGTTGAATCTAAAATAAATCAAGCTCATAGATACAGAGAACAGGTTGGTCGTTGCCAGAGACAGGGGGTTGGGGGGTGGGCAAAATAGGTGAAGGTGGTCAGAAGGTACAAACTTCCAGTTGTAATATAAATAAGACCTGGGAATGTAATGTACAGCATAGTGACCATAGTTTACAATACTGTATTGTACGTGTGGAAGTTGCTAACAGTAGATTTTAAAAGTTCTCATCACAGGAAAAAATAATTTGTACCTGTGTGTTGATGGATGTTAACTAAAATTATTGTGGTAATCATTTTGTAATATATATATATATTAAATCATTATATTGTATGCTTAAAATTAATAAATGTATGTCAATTATATATCAATTAAAAAAAGATCAAATTTGAAAAACAAATTCTTAAAACTTATAGAAGAACGTATGGGAAACTATTGAGTTTGGGTAGGATTTCTTAAATAATTTTTTTGTAAAAAGCATCAACTGGAAAGGAAAACAGTGACAAATCTGACTCCACAAAAATTTAAAACATTTATACTACAAAAGTCGCTATAAATAAAGCAAAAGGATAAGCACATGCAGGGGGAAGATATTAGCAATAAATACAACAAAGATTCTGTATCTAGAATTTATAAAAAACCAGTGATCCACTCCTAGGGATGCACTAGAGAAATTCTCAAATATTGGTACAATGGAAAATATTGAAAAATGTTCACTGAAATCTTTTCAATTCTTGGTTATTATAAACAATGAAATATCCACTAATTAAGAGACTGGATAAGTGAATTGTGGTTTACTAATACACTGGAACACTATACAGCAGTTAAAATAAATGTATCATGGGTGTATATATCAATACAGATAATACAAAAATTTTAATGCTGAATGAAAAAAAAAGTAAGTTTTGGGAAGACATATGCTAAAATGTTAAATTTTTCTTTTTTTTGTGAGGAAGATTAGCCCTGAGCCAACATCTGTTGCCGATCCTCCTCTTTTTGCTGAGGAAGATTGGCCCTGGACTAACATCCATATCCATCATCCTCTACTTTATATGGGACGCTGCCACAGCATGGCTTGACAAGTGGTGCGTCTGTGCGTGCCCAGGATCTGAACCTGCGATCCCTGGGCTGCCGCAGCAGAGCATGTGACCTTAACTGCTACACCACCGGGCCGGTCCCTAAATATTTTTTTTTAATGTGCAAAATACTGAAATATATTTTGGATGTCTTTAGTTACATCTACTTGTATAGTAAAAGTCTAAAAACATACATGAAAACAACGAACTCCAAATCCAGGATAGTAGTTACCTTTAATGAGAGAAGTTGAACAGGATCAAAGAAGAGTACTCAAAGATCTTCAATTATAATGTTTTATTTCTTAAAAATCAAACCAAAAGCAAAAAGATCAGTAATAAATATGACAAATACTAAATATCACAAGTCTGTGGTGGCTATTTGGGTATGTGTAATATTATTCTCTACTCCCTTAGGTATGTTTAAAATGTTTGGCATTATTAATAAATTAAAAGGAAAGGGTGGGTTGAATGACCACATTCCCTTCTCTTGCCCAGAGAATCGTGGTCCCCCATGCTATCCTGAGCCTGAGTCTGTAGCACAGTTCGTAGAACATCACACTGCAGATGGGCAGGTATTTTGTATGGGCTATATGTATCTTCTTGTTTCTTTGGAAAAATGACTTCTGATTTCCCAATGACATTCTTTGTGCCATGATAAATTGAGGATTGTGTACTGTTATCTCTTTTGATACATGTGGCATCTTCCTTTATGGAGAAAGAGACAAGTGACTGCTAAAGCAGTTGACAGGGCTGAGTCAGAAGAGCAGCATCCAGAACTATCAAGGGATTATGACCCATTCAGCCTGTTGATGAAGGTTTTAAGTTACTAGAGATACTGAGGGGCTTTCTGAATCATCATCAGAGGATAAACTGTTGCTTGATGTTGTTTTGTAGCAAGTATTATCAACTCCAAAGAATTAGAACCGATCTCAGTAAAATTGTATATTTACTTAGCTGGACCCTTTCTTTATCCATTCTGACTGGTGCTCATCAGAATAAGTCACTGAACCCCCAAAGACCCCAGCCATGCTCCTCACTATTCTGCATGAGTAGAATTTCCTGAGCCTCTGCTCGGAGTGAGAAAAAGCAAGCACATTATTATTGCTGACAAATGTTCCCTTTTGAGCTGGGACCATCAGCAACATTTCCTTCTTTTGGTCAGGTGTCCTCAGACTGGATTGTTTATAAAATTATTGTTTTCCCTTTTGTCACTTACAATTCAGCTTCAGTGATGGAGGTTTGGTAGTAAGTGGCTTTTCTTGTAATTAGAAAACGACCTTCTGACAGGATAAAGCTTGGAATTGCTCTCTTTGTGAAATGAGCAGGTCTGTGTTTGCAGGATTAACTCAATTCCCACTGCCGTTGCTGGCAGCGGAATTGCCAGAGCAGTTTGGGGACTGGATTGAACTTTTCCTACAGAAATCATGCAGCTGCACAGCTGCGGTCACACAAATTCCCTCCCCCGTTGTCGGTTTTCTGACAGCTTTTTCCATAGCGCAGTTTGGAGAGTGGAGAGCCTGTTTCTGAGACAGAGAAGTGTTTTCACACCTGAAGTGTAATTTCACACCTTGTGTTTCTCAGCAGATAAGTGCATAAAATAACACATCAAACCGGAATAGAAAAAGATCAACATAGAAAGAAAACCGCAGGTTGTAATTTGTTTCCTATCTTACAATACTCTTGTAGGGAACAGTAAATTACAGGGATCTGGGTTTACACTTTTAAAAGTTTGACTTGTTGTTAGGTGGGAAAGTGAGCAGTAAACACTAATCCGCTTTCAGCCTGTGTGGAACAGAATGTACAGACTGACAGAATTCGGGAAACACCCTAACAGTTAGATTGTTTTTTAGAAAAATAGAACACGTGAGTTAGTGATAAAAATTGTAGTTAAAAGTCTAGAAATCGATAAATAATTTTATTTATTTATTTTTTTTGTGAGGAAGATCAGCCCTGAGCTAACATTCAATGCCAATCCTCCTCTTTTTTTTGGTGAGGAAGATTGGCCCTAGGCTAGCATCTGTGCCCATCTTCCTCTACTTTATATGGAACGTCGCCACAGCGTGGCTTGATAAGCAGTGCATCGGTGCGTACCTGGGATCCAAACCCTTGAACCCCACTGCCACAGTGGAGTGCTCGCACTTAACCGCTGTGCCACTGGGAGCCCCATAAATAATTTCAATAAAATATAATTGTGTGAGGAGATGATATTCTTTGTAATGATACATTCAGAAATTTTAGCAGTAGTAGACATTGTCAGTAAAATTTGGATATTGTCTTTCCTTTCTATAAATGACTAAACATATGATGCTAATCATTTTATAGCACTCTGGTGCTGGAGTTATAAAACAAGGGATTTCGCTTCATTTTTTGAGTTTGAAAACTAAAGACCAAAAGAAAAAAAAAGTTAAGCCTCCTGGATAGTCATAAATATTCATTAAAAAATATTTAACATTTATTGAATGTTTGCCACCTGTTAAACATCCGGTCAGGCATCGGGGGTGCAGAGGTAACAAGACAATCCCTCCTTCTACCAGTGGGGAACTGACGGTCTTGCAGTTGGGTAAACAGGCAGTGACACTGCTGGGTGGTGAGTGCTGAGATCTAGGCTAAAACTAGATTTTGATGAAGGCTGCAGGAGGCTTGTCTGAACCAGGGCTGCGGGGAGGAGGAAGTGATCAGCAGATTCCTGGATACAGTGATGTTTCAAAACCAGCTAATGAACCGAGGGCAAGTGAAGGTGGATATCACTTGGGATGTCAGCGCATGCACAGCTTGTGCAGAGTGAAAAGGAAAGAGAGCAGGACAGGCTAGATATCCTGCAGGTGGTTCAGTGTAGTGGGAATGCAGTGTGTAAGGGCGACAGGGGTGCACAGTGAGACCGGAAGACAAAGAGAGCCAGGGGATGTAGTCTATACCAGGAAATTTAGTGTTATCCCGAGATTAGTGGGAAGTCTGGAAGGTTTAGTTTTTTTTATTAGTGAGAGTGACATGACCAGATATGCAATTTACAAAGATCCCTCTGTCTGTGGGACAGGGCAATCGTGTGACTGGAGTTTGGTGAGGAAACATGCAGAAATGCACATGAGAGATGCTGGTGACCTGAGCTTACGGTGTACACTGAGAGTTCAGTGGCATTGGGGATGGAAAGAAGTGGGTGGATTTGGGGTTGGTTGGCTGGACTAGGAGTGAGGAAGCCAGTCTTGTCAAAAATGTAGTCCTGATGCCTCATCTGGATCATTGAGTGGATGAAACTACCATTCCCAGAGATGGGGAACACTGGAGCAGCAAGTTTTTAAGAGTTGGGGACGTATTGGTGTGAGATGTGTGTGGATGTCCACTAAAAGAAGTGTGGTATTCAGTTGGGTCTTGAGCTTGGGAGGGAAGACTAGGCCAGAGATACAAATTTGATTCAGTTGACATTGGATGGATGAGATGGTCCAAAAAATATGTAGAGAGTGAGAAGAGACTAACCTAGGCATAAAACAGTATTTTGACTATGAAAAGAAAAAAAAACATGTAGAACAAAATGTATATACTTATCTTGTTACATAAATAAAATGTGGATGAAGAACTGTGCATGGCACATATGCCCACGCATGTATACACCCCTGCATACAGAGAACGTCTAATAAACATCAGCAAGGTGCCCGATAGTGGGCTGGAGGAAACTTTAAGCGTTCAAAGTAATAATCCCTTTCCTTAATAATTCATGTAAGATATATTAGTTCTGCAAGAAGTACCATGCATAAGGATGCTGCTCAGTATGTTAAAAAGGAAAAGTTTGCAGCCCATGTAAATATTACAACTAAACCAACAGAACAGAAAGCACTGATGTTTTCTTATTTCCATTATTTTTTTTCTTAGATACATATGGAAAGCTCTTTCTCCTCAATTCTGTGGGTCAAGAGATGTCACGCTGCAAGACATCCATTCGACGTGGTCAGCCCAGTCCTGTCTATAAGGAGACCTTTGTTTTCCAGGTGGCCCTCTTTCAGCTCTCTGATGTCACGTTGATGATTTCCATTTATAATAGGCGTACTATGAAGCGTAAAGAGATGATTGGTTGGATTGCTCTGGGCCAGAACAGTAGTGGAGAGGAGGAACAAGACCACTGGGAGGAGATGAAGGAGGCCAAAGGTCAGCAGGTCTGCAGGTGGCACACCTTGCTCGAGTCCTAGGTTTGCCAACGGGCATTTGTGTGCTACATCCACCCTGGTGACCCGTGTTACGACCACTGGTACCAACTGAGCGCATGCTGGCAGGCTTTGTAAAGACAGGCTTTCAATAGCGATTGGATTCTACTAACCCCTAGGATATTCTGGGAGTGGGGGGATCTTTGGGTTTCTCAAAGGTTTGATTTGGATTTAAGTATTGTAATTTTTAAAAATCCTAAATAATCAGTCAACTATATGGAAAATGTTAACGTAGTTGCAAGCAGTGATGATGTGTTAATTTGTGTTAATAGCTTATTGAGTTTTGGTTCAGGCTATGGAATGAAGCTTCTGCTGTCTCTGTTTGCTTGAAGAGTAACCTGAGATTGCAAGAGAGCTGTTAAATGTTACTATTTGCAACCACTTATGAGTATGAATCAGAATTTTCTTAATATGGTGCGAAAAACTCCAAAACACAGAAATGAGTCAGATGCCGAGGCTCATAGAAGAATGTAACTGTCATCCATAATCCCCTATTTCACATTTTTCCCTTTATCAAAAAAAAAAAAAAAACCACCCTCATTTATTTACCTAACAAATAAATGTTATAAACTTGCACTTAGAAAACAAATTTGTATTAATTAAATACCTCTTTTTATCTCATTTATATATTGTGGTTTACTATGAGATTTGGTTAGATGAATCATTTTGAAGCTGAAAAAAGAGTTCAAAAACTACTTGTCTCCTTTTGACTGTGTAGGATTTTCCAGCTTACAACTTTCAAGGTTTTTATGCTGTTTTTCTCACCTAATAAATTCCTACAGAATGAGAAAAGCAAAACCCTATTTAAATCATGGTATTACTGATTTTTCTGACTTTAGCATTCTCCTTATAGATTATAGTTTTTCTATATTCAATAATATATACTCATCCATATATTTGAATGTACGCCTGCATGTAACCCATACTCTTTTTTATGCACTATTTTCCATCATTGGCATAGTAAATTGTACACAATGGGTCTTTAATAAATGTTGATTTGATTGACTCTTAGAAATGAACATGCTATAATACCTGTGAATGAAGAAATATCCTCAGCTGGTATGGAATGACACTAAATTTTTCGTTGAGCGTTTGAAGTGCCTATAATTGTCCTTTTTCATGGCGTTTGCAGCAAATATATTAGTCACTACTTGCATTCTGGGCCTGTGCCATGTAGAACACTGGTCTTGTGTGGTTACGAGCATGAACTTTTACTTCCGACTGACTTTTACCTATTTGTGCAGGGCATGTTTATTTTTCTTTTTTCTTAGATCTGAGCCCTTTATTGCAATTACTTTAAATAGGCAGTAATAAAAAAAGGGAAGGGAATGTGTGTACATGTAACTCCGAGCCCAGCGTGCAGCTTTTCTGAGCAATTGCTCAGTCGCTTATTTTCAGCTTGTATGTTTCATTGTTGACTTTTTGCTGTCTGTGGGACGAGTGATAGCTAGTGATGGATGTATACAGTTAAAAACACAGAACTCCTCCTCAGCTCTGCATTTGGACAGATTGTAAACGTAGGCTGTAGCACTTGAAGAACATATTTATTCCTTACTGTGTATAATGGTTATCCTGAGAAGACCAGACTAGGGCACAGAATAACCCTACAACGATTTCAAGTTCCAACTTTTGAAAGAAGTGATCTCACATGAAAGAATCAGAATTAGCAAAATAAATTAATATCTTAATTTCTTTTTGGGTCTTGGGAGTTTCCTATATAATGCTGCTCAGTTCTTGGGAATGAGTAATAAAACCATGCTCCTTTGGGTTTTTACCCTGCCTTTCCTTGGAAGACCTCAAAGTGCTTTTCCAACATTATGTCCATTAAACGCTGAGTGGTCTCTGCAGTGTGGCTGTGTCATCGAGGAGAACTGAGTGCAATTGATTAAGTAGCGGCACAAAGAATTGGCTTTTCACATCCCTTACTCTCTTTATGTGCTTGTGTTTAAAGGGAAGTAGAGCAGCCTTGTTATGCTTTCCTTTATGCAGGAACATAAAAGCAGCATTCACTTTAAAATTTACATTTGCAAAAAACCTGCATATATTGTAGAGACAGCCCTGGATTTTTCCCCTCATATTTTCCCCCTCCGCATTTTGTTGCATCCTTTGTCTCATGTTGCCTAGTGGTCACCTATCCTTCATTTTCTGCTGCCTTACCCCACCCAGTTTTGAGGTTTTCTGCTGGTGAGGTGGAGATATCCCTGTGTGTTTGATCTGCCTTCCAGTAGTCTGCTTATGGTGCAGTTACAGGAATGTGCAGCATTTTAAGGGAAGAGATGCCTGAAACGCGTTTTTTATTTTTATAATTATACTGTGTTGGTATTACTCACCATGTTGGATGCATGCACATCTTGAACATACAGCAACATTCACCCCACAGCTGAGTGTATAAACATAAAATGCTAATGACAAGATACATTAAAATGTGAGGCTGAATTTTTTTTACATTGATTTGAAATTCTGGTTTAGTAAGAACTTTTGATTTTGTGCACTTAAACTCCCTCATTTTCTTGGCAAAGTCTAGACACAATGCATTTAACGTGCTTTTCACTCGAGCTTCTACATCTACGTTTGCTTTTCAAAAGAGTTATGAAAGATAATTAGTTGGTTCTGCAATGAAAAGCTGCTTTTGCCCATTTTATCCAGCTAATAATTAATATCTCATAGGGACATTTGAAATTGCAGAAGCACCAGTTTTGCTGCCTGAGTAGTTCTTTCCATGATTTTTCCTGAAGAGAATGCTTTTTAAATAATATCGTGGAGGGTAAAGGATGCACTAGGCTTCTGGAACTGGGCTTTATAGCGTGCCTTCTTTCTGGGCGTGAGTTGACGCTGAATTGAGAAGTGCTGGTTTCCCCAGTCTCGGTGGTGGCTCTTGAGCTCCCTCTGACCATTGTTGACTTTTTAAATGGGCCATTCACCAGGCAGCCGAGCACCTGCTCCACTTCTGTCTCCTTCACTGGCTCCCAGTGTGATGCGCAGTTGTTTTCGACCCTGTTTTTGCTGATGGTGCATAACTGTGAAGGGAAGTCTTGCCATCCTGAACAGAAGAAGAAGTCGTAATGCCTTTGGATGTATTACACTCGGCATTCCACCTGCCCGAAGTTTGAGAAAGAATTCTCAGCATGATTGCAAGGGGAAGAGAGAGTATGGCACTGCATTTAGGCACTGTTGACCCTGCTCCTCCTTCAATGACGGTAACTGATTGACCTCAAACGTTGATATTCTCCAGAGTGCTAGGTGCTACACCAAGCCTGAAACACAGCCTCTGCCTTTGCAACATGGAGCTCTCACAATATTTTACAAATTGTTGACACTTCTCAGTTAGTCACTCTGCTGTACGTCCTGGCTGCACTAAATGGTTTTATCTGACAACCAAAACTCTCTTCTTCTCAAGTAAAGCATTATTTAAGTGGAAACTACCATCAGTTTAAATGAAAATGCTTCTCTGCTAGCTGTTGAATTGATTAAATTGATGGTTCAGTGTGGGTTTCCCAAAAGCCTGGTTATCCTTTTGCAGCAGAGGACTTAGTACATTAAGATCAGAAAAGTGAGTAGGAAAGGATGATTTGTAGATGACATAAAACTAAATGGAGGCATATTCTTTAATGATAAAGAAACAAGATTAGAAAACATGCATGGAATCTCCTCTTACCTTTGAGGAAACAGTACCTAAAGAACATTCCATTCTGTTTGATCCACAACAAAAGCAAATGATAGATAATCCTGAAATGGCAAAAGTATTTTTATTGTTTTTAAAAAAATCATTCATTTGTTCCAAAGAGAAAAGCTAGGCAAACTATAAAACACACATACAAATCATATAGCACGTGTATGGAAGTAATAAAGAATAAATAAATATGCTGGATAGTTTCAGCATCCACTGGCATATATTGAAGAAGAGTAAACTAATAAACCAAAAGACATTTCAGGTTAACTAGCTATTTTTTACAACTTGTGGATTTCTGGGAAATACTTGAAGATGGGGGAAATGAAACTGGTCTAACACAACTCAGAGACGTTAGCATAGGCTGTGGGCTTAGCCTGGGTTGTTTGGATGGAACTCTGCTAACTGTGGGGCCTTAAGAAAATGGCTTAGCCAGCCTGTGTCCCTGTTTACTCAACTAGAAATGGATATAATACCTACCTCTAAGGTTTTTAAAAAGACATTAATGAAATAACCTCATAGAGCTGGCATATAGTCAGCATTCAGTATTTCCCCCTCACAATCATGCTTAAAAAAGAAAAAGGCATTTAAGATTTATTTCTCTTTCTAGTGAAAGTAATAGTAACATTAGAGAAAAGCTAAAGACCATTTTCAGGTACTTTAAAAAGGATATGCTCATGGAGCTAGTCTGAATTTGTAAAGAAAGGAAGTCTTATTGGGGCAACCTAAACAGAAGTAAGCCTGGTGTATGGAGGAAATTGAGCCTTAATAAATCACCAATGAGGTATAATAACCAAATCTTTGTCTTTTACCCTCTTAGCTTGAGTGGGGGACAGGTACAAAACCTTGGGGCTTGTGTGCACATCTTGGTAAGTCACTGACAAGGCCCCTCCTCGCCCCAGCTCTTCTCTGCTCCTCATCCATGGACAGAGCACTTCGTACCTATCCAGAGTTGGTAAAGGCGGCATCTTGAGTACATTTTTCAACTTTGATCTGAAAAAGTAAAATAAATGGTGTGGCACTGTACTGACACTTCTTAAAATGGACAGCACTTTTTTTTGGCCTATGTTATATATTCATATTATATACTTATAGGCAAAAATTTTTAAATGATCTAATAATGCAGCTATCAAAACTTATCTAACTATTTGACTGGAAAGTTCTATTCAGGACCAACTATTTCTCATTGTTGCCCTTAAGAGATCATAATGAAAGGAATTCTATCAGAGTTGATACTAACTCCCTTTTAAAATGGCTTTTAAGAGTGACTTGATGTAATACAAAGCAAGTTTGGTTGTTCTCAAGTGTTCAAACCTTGAGTGAAGAGGAGACTTTCCTGAGAATTTAGAAAAAACTTTGTGGACGTTTGTTCTGGAGAAGTGGTCAGCAACAAAGCCCCTGAAGTTTAGTGTCACCAGGTGCCATGAACCGGTCAGGTACCATTTGTGGTTTTCAACTAAGTGTGAATCTGGGATGGGGGAGTGTGAGGCTACATTCCCAGTCTTGCCAAATTGCCAAAGCGCTGACTCGAGGTCTAGGCTTCCCAATTCAGAAGAAACGTGAAGAAATTGGAGAAGAATCACTTAGCTTAGGGGTTTTAGTTGGGAATAATTCTGCATGTAGGGAAGTTAAAGGGGTGCATGGGAACTGAGAAGGCTGTGCAGTGATGTCTGGTAACCGTCATCCAGAATGTAAAGAGTCTTCCCAAGAGGACAATGTCCTCCTCCTCTTCTTGACCGTGTGCACAGTTAGAGCTTCTACCTGAATCAAGTCTAGAGTTTAACTTACGTATAAGGAGAATTATATGAAGGTTGTTTTGTATTAATTCCAAATGTATTCATTGGATTTCCTTGTGTCTAACACTGTGCTATTAGAAATAGCACAGGACTGAATATCTTTTTGGCCTGCTGTGACTACACATTGAAGCAATTAATCCTCATCATAAAAACAACAATACTTACCAATATACAGTTAAATCAGTCTAATCACGGGCCGTAAAAAGTAAAGTTCCTTGCTATGGGTTATTGGAAGGAGGTAAAACGTGCTGACTGACTTTCTTGGAGAAAGTGTCTAGGAAGCCCAGGACCTGCTGTGGGCCTTGGTCACATTGGAAGGGGAATCACTGAGGGAGAT